AAATAAAACGGAATTAAGGCAAGTTCTTTCTGTGCGGCACGGTACCAAATGCCCGGCGGACCGGTACCGGTCCGCTGACCGGCGGTTGGGGACCCCTGACCTAGGTTATTATAGTTAAGGACAATTAGCCCAATAACTACAACTAAACTTGAAAAAGCGCATGAAATTGCTTTAAAAAAAGAAGAATAAAAAGAAAAAACTCAAACTGCATCTTGTATGCGTAAAACTAAAATTATTATTATAGCGAATGTCATATATATCATACATTTAGCTTTCGGGGCTCATTTTACGATTCACACTGCCAGTTGAATTTTACTGTAAAAGGAGACATACAAAATTACACACGCTGTATATTTAACCAAACAAGTACTTCATCTTACAAAAACAGTTTTGTCTCAGCTTGCTTAAAGCTAACGCACAATGCAAAATGGCATGCATGGGCTAACAAATAGCACCCATGTCACGATATGAACCTTCTAAAAATCAAATATTCAAATAAAAACAACAGAAGATGACAGAAGACCACTCGCAGGCATCTCTGCTGTCTATTCTGCAAAAAGGAGTTCGAATTGTGCAGCTTTGTCTCGACATTTATCTTCATGACTTTTCATCGAATCTCTTTGTTTTGTCTGCCTGTGTTCACCTCACTGCCTCCCTGAAGGCCAGGGCACACACAAAAGAAGCAGCATATTTGCCTCTCGGGCAAGTGTCGGAGCATAATTCAGTGTGTATGAAAGCAGAACTCAACCCAACTCTCGAGATCGTTCGTTCGCACATTTTCTCTCTCTCTCTCTCTCTCTCTCTCTCTCTCTCTCTCTCTCTCTCGACCAGACAATGCTTGTAACATCAAGGGGAAAAAAACTGATGAAAGGAGGAAATATATTACTTTATTGAAGCAACTTAATATGCCACTTGAACAGGAATATTTGACACCTAAAGCCTCAAAAAAAAAAAAAGACATATTTTAAGACCAGCGTACAATAAAGTGCACAGTAAACCCCCATTGGCAGGTGATAGACATGGAGCACTGCGAATAGAGAAAAAGTGAGTCAGTGAAGCCCACCGAAAAAGTTTGTATCTGCCTTTAGATGTCACAAAATGGTGGCAAAGCATTCATTCATTTTCCAAAGATCAAAATAAAACTTGGCTACACACGTCACCATACACCTGTAGTACTTCCTTGGTACAGAGATGACAGAAGATGACTCCAAGGCAATATTGTTATTGCTATGGTCTGAGCAGAAAGACAACAAATGGGAGTTTGGATGGCTTTTTTTTTAGCAAATAAGGGCAGGTTGAAAGAAATATTTGTGACTGCTGAAAATGTTCCTCCAGAATAAGAGTTATCAGCCAAGTTTGATGTGTAGAGTGCAAAGATCTATTTCCAGCCACAACAAGTACTTTGGATGGGCACAAAAAAAAAGTTGTATTTTATATTTTTGGTGATTTGTGCCGCGTATGTTGCCCTGGAATATGTCATTTGTGGACGGTCCCGACCTCTCAGAGAAATGTATTAGTTTAGGAAAAAAAAATGTCACAGAAGGGTTGAAGAAGGAACCCATTAAGGCGTAGAAAAAAAAGTAGTGTGTTTCCGGTAACCCGACCGACCGAGAATTTCTACGTCGAAAAAAAACTTTACGGTCGGCATTTTTTTCAAACAACCCTCTACATTTATGTGTAGAGGGTTTACATCGGTGCAAACTTTCGCGATATTCACGTTGAGCGCGTGCGTCGTTTGCCCTGTCGTCTGTCAACAACATTGAAACATGGCGGCGGCCGCAATCTCCGACGACAGTTTAAACTGCGTTTTCTGTGTTACAGTCGCGTGCTCGAACCATAATGTTAAGAAAATAGCATCCATTGATGTATCGAAAAAATAAAGCGAACTATTTGATGAACACCACGGGCCGAGTAAAAACCGAGGGCGGAGGAGGACAGCGGAGGAGGACGGCGGAGGCGGCGGCGCGCCCCGGCCCCCGAGTCCGGAGCGGGAAGAAAACTAAATATGTGGCGGTGGCGGAGGCGCCGGCCGCGAATCGGCGGGTTCAATGTCTTCTTGTTTTATTTTTTATGGTTATTTTGTTTTCATTTTTGATGGGGGGGAAAAAAAAAGATTAAAAAAAAAAAACTTTGTCTGACCTCCCGACCGACCCTTTGCTGAAATTTCTTGTTACCGGAAACACACGATCTTTTTTGTTTGGCCTTACTGTCAGATGTGGATAGAGCCATTTTACTAACTGAGCCATGCCGCTCTTACTCTGGGTTTGTGTATTGCTGGCGGAATACTCTGATCTTTTTTTGGAGACACCTGTAATATACTACCACACAGTGGCATGGCTCAGGTGGAAGAGTGGCTGTCTCCCAACCGGAAGATCGTCAGGGATTTGTTCCTGTGCCCTGCACGTGACACTTTAAAAAAATAAATAAATAATACTATGCAAGTAAAATTTACTCAAAAACTAAAATATCAAACGCATTTTTTTTTTCTGTGTGGGGACGTGGATTTACGTGTTGCTATGCAATCACTCACTGAGACAGGCGACTTTTCCATTTGCTCGATTTGAAACAATGTTGCGCTGCGCTCGGCTGGTGCCACAGAGTCACACGAAAGAAGACTTGACACTTCCGCCTTCTTGGCCGTTTATGCACGCTGATTCGCCGAATGAAGATTTCATCACTCCCTCCTAGTTTACAGCCAATCAATGGGCCTATTTGTTTTTTCTTCTGAAAGTGAATAAATACTTGATCATGTCAAATTGCATATCGTGAAAGCAACGATAATATCCATGACGACATACATCTATCTGTACCTCTCGAAATGTTTATTTTAAGCCAAACTTTCTCGTGACAAGTTATAAAATGTCACTGAGAAGTGACCTTACTAAAAATGCTTGAACAAGTGAAACGCTAAAACACAAAAAAAGCATGATTAGTAGAAAGAAGGAGTATATTTTGCCTTGAAACGATATTTCATCTTGCTTAAATTTTGTAGTGAGTGCTCTTCCAATTTTGCGCGTGTAGCTGATTTCTTTTCATTGCTCGGTGACGCGACGTCATCGTTCAAGAGTTTCCCCAGGGGGACATTGGCCACCTAGGCCATCTGGGAAGTGACGCAAGCATTATGACAGCACACGCATCGAAGGGAAATGTCACATTGGGACATGAAAACTCACTGACGCACACCAACATTCATCTATCACTAGCTTACACAATTTGTACTTTTCACCATCATGTCACATAGAAAACTGAACCGCGCAACCACAT